ATTCACATACGTAAGTTTTGTGTAGTTAATAACCAGTTACAGATATTCAGATTGCAATTAATACATTTACTCAAACACTCATTCTTCAGTAGGTCACAGCATATAATTGTGTACTACAGCTACAGGTACTACTACTACAACTTACATTGCTAATATGCTTTTAAATTAAATTTTAATGAATATATTTAGGTTTTTGCAGAATTTGATCACTTTATCTTGATAGTCACTAGACGTCACATGACGAAGAATTAACACTGGGCTCGTATATGAAGGTATATTTGTCTGGGTTGGTTATGTAGGGGTCATTGGTTTATTTCTAATAACTGTAGGTGGCTTAGATTGCGAAGTCTAGTTCTACTTATTATAATACCCACTTGTTCTTTTCTGTTGAGGTGTCTTTTACTTTTGAGGCTGTAGAAGTAATTTATTTGTGTATGAAGGACACTGGATCTGAAAGTTTTCCAACTGGAATTTCATCTATCTTGCATTGCTGAGAAAAAATTGTTCATACAAAAATTTAAAAATTGCAAATCTTCACCTCTTCATTTGGCTATATCCTTTCTTAAACTTTAAATTATTCTTAAATGGAAATGAAAAAATATTGAACCAACTTGTGGATAAAGGGATATATTTACACTTTTGCTAAATAAGAAAACTCGCTCGTATCGTTTTTGCTTTTCTTGAGCATACCACTCATGTAATTCTAACCTTGTTTATTCATTCATTTCGTTAATTACTATAATGCGTCGGCAACGTCACATTCAGCTAGTTTATAATAACCAAATACTACGTATCGGGCGGAAATTTTCGTTCGGAATACGTGCTGATCTACTGCCTCTTGATGCGACACCTGCTGATCTACTGCCCCAGGGCTCTTGTTTTCTCTCGGCGCCCTTGTGTCCGCGCGGGCAGCGCTCGCTCTTTCGCACTTCATCCGCGCGTAGCGTCACGCACTTCCACGCGCCGGACCCTCATGCGTTGCGAGGCGGCGCAGTCGGCCAAGGCCCTTTGCACGCGCCGCTGCGGCGACACAAAACGAAAACAAACGTCATTGGCGAGGGGCGGGGAGGGAGGCGTTGTTTCAGTGTTCCCGAGTAAGCATCTGGAGGCCCTGAAAAAAGTGGTGAAATGGTGATGTGGGTTGCAGCCACCATGAAATTTGCGACAAATTCTGAGCAAATAGTAATAATAATAATAATAATAATAATAATAATAATATTGTTATTATTATAAAAGATACACAAACTGCAGTGACTGGATCCCACCAAATCTTAGGGCCGGTTTCACCAAACAGAAAGTAAGAGTTTACTTTGGAGTAAATCGTGTTTACTAGAGAATAACTTCTTAATGAAGCGTTTTACCAACTATACTCGAGTGTAAAACGCTTACACGAGAGTAAATTCGAGAGTAACTTTACACGGCGAAAACTCGTCGAGTAAAGTATGGAGTGAGATCAGTTTTCATCGTGCGTGTACCTCCGAAGTGTTATTCGGGCTCGACGATTGCGAATGATGGTATTTGAAGATGATTCCAGAAATATTTTAAGATATATTATTCTCTAGTGCGAAGACAAAGATGGATGTGGTAGAGAGTGAACGGATTTTCCAATTATGACGATCGATATTTTGTCACGAGGTTATGTTTAAACAAATCATTCGCTCTTCTATTTGGAAGAATTGAAGCTGATTTAGAAACGAATAATTTGCGTACTAAATACGAAACTAAAAAGATAAATATAAAAAATAAATACAGGAAGTAGAATTATTTCATAAACTATCTTTTTTTACGAATTGTAGGTAACTTAAGATTACAGGCAATCAGTTCAGAGTTCAGATCAAACACGATATTTCTATTAAAATTATTTAAACAGCGTAACGTATTTTATTTGTGAAGTATGATGTTAACTTTATCAAGTACAATGTAAACTGTGGAGGACTTTGTAAATTTATTTTCACTGATGGGGATACGAAATAAAAGTATTAAATATACGATAACAAAGGGAAACTAATAACAAGGACTAAAAGTACTTATTTACCTATGCTAATATATAAAGACACAAGGGCGTTGCATTACCGCGTGATAATCTCTGAATGCACTGGACGAATAGCGATGAAACTTACAATCTGGCTTCCTTTGAAGGTCAGGAGTGCTATAGGCTGTAACTGACAACCATAAACCTTAATACATTCATAAAATAATTACTTTTCTGGACTTTTTTCACCTAGCACAGATTCAAGAGTGCATCAATGTGCAATAGTTTGGCTGCGCGCCATGAGGGGATGTTGACTGAGGTCTACGATTCTGTTAATCAATCCACAGAATTGCGTATATCTGCAGAATGACTTTGTTGAATTTACCGCCATGTGTCTTATGCGAAATGTTCATATTTAAGAATGATTCTGACTGTTTTTCTTCACTCTATTTATAAAAGTAACTTGGATAAGGATTTTAATTGCATCTAGGCTTCAATGTAGTAAGTATACAAGATAGAAATATACTTTTTCCTATATGATATGTTTGAAAAACGACATTTTGCTGATAGATGCTTGAAATTGTTGTAAAAGTTTGAATGTATTCAAGTATTCTATATGAATAATTACTGGTTTAGTTGTACATTATATATGATTATAATGTAATTACGGGTAGGACGGGGTGGGTCGGAGTGGGACGGGATGAGTGAAAGTGAAACTTATTATGAATGATTTACGTGTTTGGTTGAAACTGACAGATGGATGAATTTTTGTAGGAAAGTGTTGTATAATAGTGGAAAAAGAGAACCTTTGGTTGAGAAATGATTATTTAAATTGCTGAAAGTTAGGCAAGAAGAAGTAGTGAGGTAAAATATCATTGAGAAATGAAAGGAATTGAATGTGTGTCAACATTGTTTTCCAAGGCTGTTGAAAATAGAGCAGAAGCGCTTTTAGATCTCAGAAAATCTTTGGTCAAGCCAGGATCCACTGTATGATCTCGGATTTTTTGAAGATATTATAATTGTCCAAGTGGATAATGACACTTTTCCGTCAGCCACTATTTATCAAGGATCTTAAGATGCGAACTTGAATTGAATTAAAAGCATATTTATTTATATATTTTTTCCATTGCGTGGGGTGTAAGATCAATTTCTTTTCTTTATAAATACGCTAGATGAAAAAGAAGTTTTTCAATGTGGCAGCTGACTGAAAATATGAGAATAATACATAAAAATTCCACAAAAATAAAATGAGTACATGTATTTTATTTTTTTGAATATACTTTTTTATAAAGCGAAGTTTCGCGGCGGGAACCCTAATTTTTAAAAAAATATAGACATTTTTAGTAAGAAGTGAATGAGGATATTTCCAAGTGGGAGCAACGCAGAGAGAGGTAGGGCAAGACGGAGCGGGGATACAACAGAATATATACAAGGCTCCGCGGCAGGGCGGGAATAGATGAAATAGCTTTTCCTGTCTAATAAATTATTGTGACTATTCCACTCGTGAAATTAAAATCAATACTGCTTAACTTTACATACAAAATGCCCCAATCAGGGCAGTGTATCTCAAAAAGTTTATCGCTTTTTCTATGCGATTTTTCTTACCGCTTCTACCTACTGGCCAATCATAAACTGTGATTCATCTACCTTAGTATACATCGATTGCTATGTCGATGTCCAATAAACAGCGTATGTACATAACACAAGTATTTTGATTTTAATAAAGTCCTCAGTTATTTTCAATATTTGGCGCATTTTGGAACTTTGTTGGACATAATTTCACTCTTGGAATAGCCCTATTAAATACCACTCGTGCTTTGGAAATTCTCAGGTAAAATCCCTCCTCGCTTCGCTAGCCGGGAATGTATCGACAATTTCCAAAGCACTCGTATTACCCATGAAAAATACACCGGCAACGCGTACTTAAGCTAGTTTGTTTATTTACTCAAAAAACTGTAGGTGACGTATGGGGGATGTCAGCTGTGTACGTTTCTAAAGATGCAAATATTTACATAAAATGTATGCAAATTTTGAAACATTTTTAAGAAAATGTTTTATGTAAACAATTTCGTTATAAACATAAAAAGAAAAAAAAATTGATTATTGTTTGTTAAATCGTAGTTTTAATTCATTTTTGTTTCCAACCAAAGATTTTTGCAACATATTTGTCTTGTAAAATTATTGTAAAATTTGTACAATAATACTCATGTAAGTACACAAATATTACTCGACAAACGGTCGTACAATTGTATAAAACATGTAAATTACATACCAATGTTGTACCTATTTTTGCACAATTTTTCCATACATTTTGCATCGTCCTGGTTATCAGGGTATCGAAAAAAAAAAAAAGTTCATGTATTCATATTTAAAATTTGGGTGGGTGGCACGAATACATATGAAAAATGTGAGAAGACTTTTTAAACACTTTGACCTAAAAATTTAAGGCTATTTATGCAAGAATCATAATTTTCATAAATTTAAAAATGCGGATTTTTTAGTTCTCCGTAAAGTTTGATGCGGATTGAACGTCCAAAATGCAGATATGTGGTATCTCTGGCAACACTGAGTTGATGTAGATTTCGTGGGTAATAAAATTTGGGAGATTCTAAGATGGTTTTACTATTGGACCACGAGCTCAATCATCAAATTCATTATTCGGTGAAACAAATGTTTGCCGGTGAATACTGATAATGTTGCTGAAATTGTGATAATTAAATCCCGCACGAAGGAAGGTTAATGGTACTACAGTTCTAACAAAGAATGTTAATAATTTTTCTTCAATCACTTGATACGGGATATTAGGGCAAACATTTGATAGAATAATTTTTTTGTGCCTAGAAATTAATGGCTTTATTAAGAAAAATTAATAGTAGTTTTACTGACCTGCTCTCCTGATGTTCGATGAATTTGAAAGAATAAAATTAATTAAAATGAATTAATTATTGTTCTAAGTTCAATAAGCTTCTTCAGAATGTGGAAACTAGGAAACATGGGATGAATATAAAAGATGTTAATGAGAAAATGCAGATAATCTATTCCAATAATATATTTCTTATTGCAATAAAAATAAAATGTATAACAAAAGTATTTATAACACACAGTGATACATTATATAAAATAAAATAATTATGGCAGTAGCAGTTAAGTCTGGCAGCTGAAAAACCACCATGGCACAAAACCTTAGCACCAGCTCGCTGTCAGTGACCATGTAATTAGAAGTCCAGTCCAGTCCTAAACGTAGAAATCTTTATAGGAAAAAGTTTCACTTGGTAAGTTCTCAATCGATACCCTCCTTCTTTGTTTTCATTATCAAATTAAATTGTACAATCCAAAAATTATTTTGTAACCTAATGCACACATTTTTAAGTCTTCTCACTGAATTTAACGAAAAAAATTGAAATCTTAACATGTCATAAAAAAACATAATTTTTAGAAGCATGCAATACTTCTAATGCAGTAGAATATATTACCATTGTGTAAAATATGTCAGAAAACCGAGTGACATAATTTCAGTATCTAGAATCGGTTTTCTGTATTAGAACATTGCTTACTTAAATAGATGAAATATTTCCAAAAAATATTTCATATATATATATTTGAATAACATTTCATATTATTTAAATATGAACTAATTTATTGTTTCCAGTAAAATTGTCCAAAAAGAACAGAAATATTTTGCTGTGTAATAATGTCGTTTACTTACTGCATTAAATTTTTATTTGTCAGAGCATAAAAGAACCAATGTACATTGATAATAGTGAAAGGAACTTATTCATATTTGTAATTAAAAAAATATACACAGTAAAAGTATTTTAGTTTAAGGACGTCTGTTCAATAAACAAAGATTTTTGAAGCCAATGACTACTTAAATGAAATCTTCTGTAAAAGCCTTCCTAGTGTTTATTTATATACAATGGAGGAACTACCAATTGCATACTTCATTTTTCATGTTTAAAAAATGAAGTTCTCTCTTCATTCCTACAGACACAAAGAATGCAATAAACAACATACAAATTTCCAATGTGTACTGCGTAACATTTGCATAGATACACTGTGCAACTTATGGTATGAAATTCATAACATAAAAAAAATTCCAGGACTGGATATACAAACTACATAATCACTCAGGGATTTAGAGCTTAAGTCCGCTCTGTTGCTTACGCATTTCAAAAAGGCCTTGGCACAAAATAATGCCTCAAGACGCACACACACACACATTATGGTTATGACACATACACAGAGGTATTACATTTATAAATACTGTACAAAAATAGATCTGATTTTCAGTTTCTGTGAAGAAAGTTAATACAATGATAAGAGAGCATGTTATTGAAGTGTGGCCACTAGAACATGGTCAAACTTTTCAGATTGGATTATTAATATCATAATGGAAAAATCTAGCGATATATCAATAATAAACAAACTCAGAGAACATGAACTCATAGACTTGACACATTTACAAATATAATGACAAGAAAGTAGTTTTAATATATAAGAAAAATATTGTCTCATAGGAAAATATATTCCTTTAACTGAGTATTAAGTTGAATGATGGCTTTTAATGTTTTTACCAAGATCTTATTCACGTTAAATTATACAAATTGTACATTATTTTGTTCATGCCAAATGCTTTTTTAAAAAAATTGTATTCAGACATTACACATAAATAATGAATGAGACATTTAGAAAAGTCTACATAGTCTTTAAGTTAGAAAGAATTTTTCAGCCTTCATTTTGTGCACTACTTATTCTATTTGACGCCTTTATAAAACAATGAAACAAAACTTTTTGTGTTGTGTATGAAGCAATATATATTTGCTCACATTTATATAATAAAAACTAGATTTCTTCTCTCAAATGATCATCTGTTGTCATTATCATAGAAAAAAAACAAATTTGATGTTCAAAAATCAAATACTTATCTCACATTCAAGATTTGTTTTTAAATTTAGGTTTCAGAATTTATAAAAAAAAGTATGTATACTTAAGTATAATTATTAAAATTTAATGTTTTACAGAAACATTTTGGGGTTTTTGTCATTGAGTTTTAGAGTTCTTTGGAAGAATAAAGACCAAAGACGTTAGGCATGTGACATTCTGGGAGGGAGGCATGGAAGCCTTGCTAAACTGTCCAAGCAAAAAGTTTGTGATTTTCTACTCAACGTAATCAAAACAATTACCATACAATATATTGATTGCATCACAACTAGAGGAGTATAAGCATGCACACAGGGTGGATTTGGGGGGGGGGGGGTTGAAAATTTTGAAAGGGGTCCAGTAACTTCACATAATAATTTTTTTCCATATGTTTCATCTCCGATTTCTCCTTTTATTTTTGGTAAAAAAAGGAGGGGGGCAGAACTGTAGTTCACCTCCTTTAAGTTGCGCACATCTATGCGTATTTGCTCTATTAATATATATTTTTATTTGAAGCTTACAATAAAAAGTGTTGATTATTTCAAAAATATTGATGAAGAGGGAGATTCTGAACTGAAATTGCTCTTTCCGCGAAATCAAACACTTTCTCGATCCATCTCTGGTTATAGATAGTGTTTCACAGTGCTGTCATTCAGCTGGTTCGCACCAGTTCATGTTGAAGTTATTGTAGTTCCCAGAACCGGTTGTTAAAATTTTCATGATACGCAGAAACAATAGAAATTAATCACAATCAATTTGTTTAAATTATAGCAACTCGGATTAACACATTTCTGTCTAAGACGATTTCTCTCGATTTGATCCGCTTGCTAATTCTGAGGCGACTAATTTCGTGAAATTCTGACTATGTCATTGAAACCATATGCCTACTAATACACGCGTCAGGACGAAGCGAAGTACTATATAATATTCACAGAATCAAATAGCTTCGTGATCACTTTCGTAACCTTCAGGCTGAATTATTAAGTTCTTAAATGACTGTTTCCATAAATTTGTAAACGCATGTTGCATTAAAATTTTTCTGTAGGGACATTTTACTTCATTTAATGAGCCATTTATTATATTGAAATAAAAAAAATCGGTTCTTTAAAAAAGATAGAATAGCAGCACTGGTGCTTCATTATTAAGGAGTTCAATATTTAGAGTTTACTCTGTAGTACTACATTCCCGGAAGTAAGCTCCGGTTTACGCAAAGAGGACCCTGAATAGAGGCGCGAAAGACGCAGAGGGTCGCTGATCGTTGACCTCAACCGCAGCCAACTCGCCGCAGCCGTGCCAATTGCAAGCAGAGCCTTGACTTTCAGCTAGTCCCAAACATGGAAATTCGCGAGGCCGCGCTGCCCTTGAAGTAGCTAGTTCCCGCCCCGGCCACCCGCTGCGTCCGCGTCGCCGGCCTTTCGGCGCCATCTGGCCCGCCAAATACGGTCACTCCTCCTCCACGACGTTTTAATTAGCTCTTCGGATTTTTTCGCGAGTTAGATCACAATAACGCAGGTTAAAAAAATATTCCGCTACAGTGGACTGAGGGAATTAGATAAGTTTCTCCCTTTGTTCATTCTTTCGTATGGTGAGCTGAAAAAGTATTTTCCCCGATCACTATTATAGAAAGTCAAAGAACATCATTAAGACATTTAGGGACAGTACTACAAGACAGTGCTTGATTGCTCGTAACAAAAGTAGAAGGAAGCAAGAAAATTAGAGGGCTGAAATACTCGTACCATAGTGTTTTTATTTGCATTCTAGAAAATTTCATTAAAAATTGAGAAGTAGAGAATAGATAAATGATAGAAAATAAATCGAACTGTGATTTGATAGGCTACTCCAAAATCAAAACAAGTATGCGAGTAATAAAGGAGTTCAATGAATGTCATTAAATTTAAAGAAAACTTCGAAATTTCACAAATTTTCTGAAACTATCGTTGGTCATATTTAGTAAAGGGTCTTCATTTCAGCAGAATAATAGTAGGCTGTATCATGAAAGTTATGTTTTTGACTGTGTTTAGTTATGCATTTTTCTGCTAGACATTCTCCATCTATAAATTACGTACTGCTATGTAATGAAATAAAACCTTTGACTTTTGACATGTAAAGGAATCATGAATTCATTCGTTAGCGAATTGATAAGAATGTTATATTTGTTACTAAAAGTCTGAAAACTGATGGATTCCGTTTTGGAAAATTACTGCACGGCGGAGAGCTAGTTTTTACCATCATGTATTATCAACAACAGTTTTGACTCACACACATACATCCATTTTCACAAATCTCTCCACGATTTTCTTGTAATTGACCTCAGTGCTTGCGATATGTCAATCTGCAACAGTCCTTTCATTTCGTTATTGTCAACACTACCGATCACAGACCACACCCTCGCATGTAGAGGTGAAAAGGGGCCAATTCACAAATCCTTCGTTTGTTAAATGCATTTCACGGATGTGGCGAAAATCCGCTAGGGGCTCAAGTGTCAATCAGGACAATTCCTGGTAGAAATCCTAACCTAAATTAATCCTACGAATTGAATGTGGCACCAATTCCTTAATATCAATTTTAGCACATCCATACAAACGCAGTCATTGTGTGAGAGTCTTGTAACAATTTGTTGAAAGCTATTAAATTGCTTTACATTTACTTGGAGGTATTGAAATAGAAATTAAGAAACGATCGCCAACTTCAAATAGGATTAACCTTTCTGGATCATTCTATATTTCCAGCTTTGACCCTTTCAAGACCTGCACACACCCTTGCAGTCTACCGGATTGTGGCCACTGCATGAAAAACGCATGAATCGTTGTATAGTGCAGGCGGTGGGGGCCCGTGCGACGCATCAAGATGGCGGCCGGCGCGCCGGCAAGATGGCGGTCCGCTCACACTATCTTGCCCTGACAGTTGCAGGTGGCCTTGCAGTACTTGTGGCGCTCGCGTCCCTCGCGCGTGGGGTTGCGGCAGAGCCAGTCGTGCCATGTGGCGTTGAGCTCGTGGCAGTTGGCCCACATGTCGGCGGCCGGGCACGAGTTGGTGCAGAGCTTGCGCACCTTGCAGTGGCCGCGGCAGTCGCCGCACGGGTGCCCGTGCGTGTACGGCCGCCCCAGCCGCTCCATGTAGTTGCCTCTGCAACATACGCACAAATGCTTTGTACTCCACCGTATTTCGGTCACTATTTTACATTGTATTTATCGATGTATGGTTTATGCAGGGTGGAACGCGACGGAACGGCGTTCCGGTACCTCGGGAATAATTATTAAATTATATAATGAATATGTAACTATTTACATTAAATTAATAATTAATTTGAGGCGCGTGAAAATGTTATAAATCAAGCACTGTGTGTATGTAGGTAGATACATATCTATGAATGTAAGTGGCATTTTAGAGTTGCATTCACCCAACGCCTGCTAGCGGCGTTCCCAAGCCTAGGTTCTGTTTTTATTTATCAATGGAGACATGTGGCGAGCATGACGTATTATCATTATCGATCCTATTTATTTGGTGTGCATGTGCGCTTTTTCGTCGCAGCCTTAGAAACTGAGACAATTTGTATTAGAAAGCTAATGCTTCGTTTTTGCTCTGGCTCGGAATCAAACCCGGGACCGCCTCACAGAAAGCTAGCACACTGTCCAAGAGCCACCCGGGGAGAACATTGTATATTGAGAATTTAATATTTGATTTTACTTGGTATACATCTGTATACACGTAGTGTATAAAAAGTTATGTAATGCTGTGGAAAATCGATTTCTAAATTTCAACGGAAATACAGGTTTTAGGGTTTCCTGATACCGAAAATGGTGTTTTTTTTCAAAAGGTCCGTCCGTCTGTCGTATGTGAACCACACTAGCGCCTGAACTGCACGTAAGTTTTAAACTGAATAAACCCCTGTCGATCTGGCCTCACTTAAAGCCCAGGGATTTTGAAAAACATACATTAATTTTTGGAAGTAAGTAAAATAGTTTAATAGTCTTTCATGACACCCCAGGGTCATTTCCAAAATTTTCTCAAAAATAACTCAATTTTTTTCTTTAAATTTCTTGTAAGAGTAGAATGAAGTTCACGTACGAGTATAAAGGTGACACAGGTCCAATTTTCACTGTTAATTCGATTGAAATTTTTTCGGTGTCTTCCTACAGATACAGAATTGAAGATAGAAGATTTTCCTTCAAGTAAAATTCTTCCTTTATAATTAGTTATTCCTTTACTATTATGTACGTGTTTTTGAAACTTTGAGTGGCTTCTGTGCGCAAAATTGAGTGCAAAACAAGACATTCTCAGAAAGAACTCCAAATTTTTTCTTTAAACATTTTGTAGAGATAGTGCTAAATGAACTCTATAAGATGACATAAACGCCATTTTGCCCTATTCATTTTTTTAATTACACAAATTATTTTTTAAAAATATTTATCACGCAGTTAATACGCACATTTCCAGCGATTTGTACTCATATACAGTATTGCATTTGTGAGTGACAATGATTCAAATTATTTCCAACAAAGGTTGGAAATGATTCAAATTATTTCCAACAAAGGTGGGAAACTCAAAAACTTTTGTGAAAAAGAACTTCAAATTTTGCATTTACAGTAACGCTTCAATGCCATTTTCATAAAAACTGCTCCAAAGGTTGCAACAAAAATTTCCTTTTAGGAGGAGGTTTTACTCTTATATAATGGTCTCAAAGTAATATTTCAGTTCTTTAATTAGCAAACCAAATAATTGAGAGTTTTGTTTAAAAAATGTACTTGCGGCGGTAGATGGCAGCTAGCAGGAGTATGTGGCAACATCAAAAAGCAAGCCCAAACTAAGGAAAATAGAAAACTATTACAAGAAAGTTTGTGCCATGCTATAGCACCACTAGTTCCATGTGCAGTGCATGAAATTGAATACAATTTTTGTTCAAATTAATGCACACATGTATTATAAGTTATATCACCTTAATAATTTAGTCAAATCGCCAAAAATATCAATAAAATCAAAATTTAAGCGGTGGATTTCCGAGGCTTCGTGGCTGGTAAAGCAAGGGCTCATTGATATCATGGTGTTGCTACAGTTAATATTCGACTGCTCCGTGGCCAAGCTTTAGGCCTGAGACGCTTCTGTTACATGGGTCGAGGTATTAAGTGCGGTGGAGGACGGGCGACTCACATGGGGCAGTAGTTGCAGATGTAGCTGAAGTAGGGCTTGCGCCGCCCGCCGCCCCCGTCGCAGCGGTGGAAGCCGCAGCCCACCTTGTGCGTGGCGTCCCACACCATCTGCGTGTAGTGGCCCACCACGTAGATGTTGTTGTTGTGCGCGCCGTACGAGAAGTTGTGCCTTTCTTCGTTCCACATGCGGATGGCGAATAACCTGCAACACAACACGCACTCGCTCAGACGTGCACCCAGTCAAGACAAAAACCTCTGTGTGTTAAATTTTCTAGGTATTATGTAGATTAAGACTTTGTTGCATAGACGTACGCAGAGTGTGATCCAGGAATGCCAGTGAGACAATACCTGCTCAAAATTTTAAAAGATCATTTTTGTCCGTAATAAATTAAATTATTTTATTTGCGCAAATATGTTCAATGCCTGATTTTCCCATCTTTGAACCTGAAAATTTGGGGAATTGTTATGCAACAAGCCATTTGACGACTTGAAAATAATTCAACAAAATGCATTGTATTTATTAAATGTGACATTAACGTAATTTAATGTTCTGTAATATGATTTATTTATTCACTAGTAACATATGTAAGTAAAATAGTTTAATACAAAAGGGGGCCAAACATGTACTTTCTCCCCCTTATACTTTAGGCTGCGCATGCATGTTTTGTTGGAATGTAATAATTCAGTATGTTATCAGTATGTGTTCAGAATGCAATCAGTGGTGGATTATAACGAAATGCCATTTTTCCCTCTCATTTTAGAACAATGGCGTTTAGTATAAAATTTAATTTAATGTTATGACAAAAGGAAATGACCCATTTTTATTGTCATTTTTTTTTAATTTCGTCGATTTCGACTAATAAACTTTTTTACCTTTTCCGTAATTTTTAATGTATTTTCGCTAATTTTATCTATGTTAATATCATTTTAATGGTACTCGCTACAAATAATATTTACGAGGTACAAAAAATGTTCACAAAATTCTTGAGTAGTCTATTCGAATTATTGGCTCAGAAACTGTAATGTCAGCCGCTGTATGTAATCTAAGGTTGTGACTGCCTTAGTCATTTGGGTCGATTTCGAGATAACTAAAGGCAGAGATTTCCTGGTAAAGAACAGTCCAAACCAAAAGTTTACAAGCTGAGTACACAAGAACGAAAAGAAAATCCCTTGATTACTTCAGTAGAGCATAATCAACAGCGTCAGTTGTTCTTCGGAAATGGTTTAGATAAAAAAATTGTACGTTATTATTTCTTTTAGGGCATTTTAAAAAAACATTTGAAGAGCATTTTATTGATGGTGTATGGCAATGTTTTAGGTCATCAATATCCGCCCCTAGTTGGGTGCACATAATAAAATAAGTCGTAGGAAACATAATTCTCTTCAGCCTTTGCGCTCACCAATCTAAATAACGAGTTTGACATCGTAGGAATCTCACTACAAAATAGAGACAAGAGGTCAACTATTTACAGAGGTTTATTTACAATATTATTTACAAGCAATAATAAATCAAAGTATCTAGTATGAATATACCACTTTCGCAAACTATCCCGGATCGCATGAATGATTCCTAACTACCTACAATTAATTGCTGGCTCGTAGCCCTCACCACTAATCAAAGACTTACGCAAACGGCGAATTTCCACGTGGTCATTGTCACAAGTGGAATACATACGGGTTATGAAATCTGTGTTAGTCTCCCTCAAGAACGCGTACTATATATTGTAAGTCCCACCCGATGTTTACTCTTCTCTGATACAAGTCATTTTCGGTTTCACTGGTAACACTTCACAGTGTATCTTCACTACCTATGTAAAATAGTGAATACTCGCTCAGAATTTAGATTTGAAGCGACTCGACTATTAAATAAAAAAATTGGTTATCAGTTTTAAAAAGAACAGCATAAATAATAACTAATTAAAATAAAGTTATCTTGCCACGTTACGATCAGAAAAGTACTCTAAGTTACGATACCATATTTATTTTTCTGTAAGAAAGGTTTCTCTTATTATTCCGATTACTAGAGCTGCGTAACACTCGAAGGTGACTCACTGCAAAATATCACTAGTCTCTCCTTGAAGATTAGCCCATAACCCCGGAAATACGAGTAATACCACTTCAGTTGAACCTGCCCTTGCTCCGGGAATGGAAAACAAAGATCTACTCTATACTTCTGCGTTACCTTCCGTACATCTGACAACCATGTATTACGTGTTCTCACTTCGTTCACTAGTATTCTGCAGTAGTGAAAGGTTGCCTGTACAGTTGGCTAGAAAATATAATAACCGTTCAATTAACTTCAGGTTCGTGTTATGTGTTGAATTCTTGTCAGCATGTAGAATTGAAAAGTAACATGGTACTGTAACGTAGAATTATAAAATACGTGTATACGCAGCACTCTTGTCAAGTATATGTTTAAGTTATAGAAACACATGATGAAACTTCCAACTTACGTGGAATAATAAGAAAAAGGAACAAAAGGAAATAATTAATAAATTGCTCTTAAGAATATGTTTATCTTTGAGCCAATTCATATAAATATATTAATTTCTTCTATGCAAGATTTTGTGAACAAATTTAAATCATAATTTTTAGAATATGTGAATTCGAATTTATGTGTCTAATGTACGTACTCCAGGGTTCTTGGAATTTCATTAACATGCAAGAAATTTTTATAGTTACTACACTAACATATTTACATTTTACAGTTCGACGCAAGTACGGTCGGCCGCATTCTGAAATTGATTTTATGCAAATCTTTCCGACCAAACTATATTTTCGCAAGTTGAAGCTGGAAGCGTGTTCAATACATTAATGAGAGTGTACACAAAGCAATATAACATATTTGCATTTCATAATTAACCAGGAAACACAGTCAATGGTCAGTTAAAGAGTTCATGATAAAATAGTTTTCGAAATACATGACTGACATGAAATACATCGACGTCAGGCAACCAGAAGAACGAAAAGCCTCTTTTAACGGCCGGCGTCGATTAAATATTATAACAGTTCGCAGAACGTTACGAAGAATTGCGTTATTGCTAAGGATGGCGTATGGAAACACTTATTCCACGAAATTATTTTTCTTGTCTGTTTTTTTGTTCTTAAAAGAAAGTAGTATGACGAAATGTGTCGAACGATACACACCTGATAACACAAGAAATATAACTCGCTTGATTGTGTATCGTCGTATCGTATTGTGTGTGATTGTGTAATGCCGTTAATAATTATACATTATAAATAATTACAACACTGTCTAGAATTGTAAAAGTCGTAATGATTTATAAAGTCGTAATGATTTATAAAGTCGTAATGATTTATAAAGTCGTAATGATTTATAAAGTTGTGTGCGTCTGCGACAGGATCTGTTTTGTATTTTGAGGCTGCCAGGCGCCTCGGTTTTGGTTGTTTATTTTCGGCCTTCCTGTCGCCATCTCCAAGGCTAAACGCGTTTCATGACCACGACAGAATTATGAAAACGTTTTTTCACAAGCCTAGAATGCTGTGTTGAGTAGAGAGCCAAAAGCATAAAAATGTAATTAATAAATGGCATAATGCTAAAAAGATATGTAAATAATTATCTTGTTCAATTAATATAATAATTGCCATTTTGAAATACTCTCGTGTATTTAAAAATCCCACCAGTCACTCTTATTTCACTGTTAAACTTTACATTTTCTTTCATTGTCGTAAATGCTTATTATTGAGTAGTAATAGTACTATTTTTTATGTAATTAAATAATTTTAATAGCTTTCGGAAATAGTCGCAAATAATTTTACAATTCCGTTTTATTTACGAGATTCACACTTTTATTCTCCATCAAACTCTCGTTAACATCGTACTCCTTATATTTTCTCCAGATTTTACTGGAAACAAACTTTCAGTAGCTTTAGTATTTTTTCGAATATTTTCCTACGAACTTCTAGATATTCTTCCCATTTGTACGAACAATCCTCTCCAACTAAGATTATGCAATTGTAATAATTAATGTACACACCCTGTTTAGTTCATCTGACGCCATATTGACGACTGACGATTGCAATGAGTCTTCTCACTTCTGATGAAGACAAATTTAACGATCTTTCGAATACTTGTAAACCATCACGTTTAACGAATCAGTACGAAGCTACAATGACCTACTAAACCATAAAGTTTTGTAAACACCACGAGCGCTAACGGTTTTGTCCCTCAGACGACTTCTACCCCCTGGAGTCAGAGGCCAAACCAAGTTGCCCTCGAAGCACAAGCATCTACTTAAAGCCCTCGATGCATTACTACTATATGCGCCTGATCAACGTCGCTTGGAAGCACATATGAAACCCTCCTCGCGGATTGCTTGCCGCCAGCAGTGAGGGGTCGCTGTGAGGAGAATGCGGCTGCGAGTGGGTTCCGCGTCGCGTATTCCGCTGCAGCCCGCGAGGCCGCGCGCGGGCGCATAAACAGCGGCGGTGGAATGCGGGGCAGCGCCCGGCCGCGGTCGCCGGCAACGGGCGTAGACGGTCATTCTTTTGCGATATCGCCGACGTCATCTCGGCTGGCAGCCCGCTTCGACGCTCGCCAGAGGGAGTGCGTATGCCGATGCTGTTACGTGCGGTCCGACAGAATGAGCGAGTAATTCACGCTAACCATGGAATAAAAGATTTTAGAAAGCACTCTTAGAATCCTTAGTGAAAAATATTTAAGATTTGAAAACTCGTACGCTGATGGTTTATTCATGATTCGAAGGTTTCAAACGTATACTTTAAAATCTGTCTTTACCAGCTGCTCCTTTCTAAGCTTTCTGTAGTGATCATACTAAATAAAACGTCTTGTAACTCTATGTTGGTCAATTTTACCATGGATGAAAAAAACACCTTTTCAGTGCGTTTTTTTCTCTCTAAAAGACTTGCATAAATGTATAACGGATAATTCGCTTGTAGTTCAAGGATTCGAGAGATTTTAATAATTTGAGATTTGGTGAAGGGAATCATATGCATTTTTGGATAATGGAATTCCTAAAAAAAAATGTTCTTGAATATTTAATTTACATACTTCAAATTTTTACGAGGGCCCTAAATTCCATGTTGCTTGGGTCCATAAACTTTATTCTGGCACTGGAGAAATATATTAAAGGTTTTCAAGGTGTACTGGTAGTATTCTTTTTTTATCACGCGAGTTGCAAGAATCCCAGTTAAAAGGTTTGTGAAATGTTGTATTGTCTG